ACACCCAGTGCCTGGCTCCGTGTCAGTCTCTCATCTCACCTCTCCGATGATACCCCTGGGCATGAGGACGCCCCTCACCTGGCAACAGTCCAGGGCTGGACACTGTTCTCCAAACATCTCCTGCCAAAATCAGACTCGTTCTCTTCTCCTCACAGCTTTGTCTAGACGTCCACACACACACACAGGGCCCTGCAGTGGGAATAGGGGATGGACCCTGGCACTGGAGAAGATCACTTGAGTGTCAGGCTCCTGGAGCCAGCAGCGAGAGCTCACTTTTCCCTGCTCTCCATCCCCACGGGCCTTGGGGGCATCTGTGTCCTGCACCCCGTGTCCCAGCCTCCGGATATCCTACACAACAGCTCACCCGCAAGCCAGGCCGAGGCCTGTGACAAGCCCCTGCGTGGCACCAGCAGGAAGGAGAAGAGCCTCAGTCTCTGACTGACGGGAATGTCAAAGGGATGATTTCTGAGGGGAAGCGCACAGGAGCAGGAGGGCTCTGACCACACAGAGCTGCCCCAAATTCTCAGAGCCATGAGCGAGGGTGAAGGTTCGTTAGCGCAGCCCTGACACCGGGGTGAGGGAGGCAGTGTGAATGCACCGGGCTGGGTTCCCTGATCCCGGCTTAAAACAAGAAGCCCCAGAATGCACGTCTGCTACTTCCGCAACGATCACCGTCCACTCAGTGCAGGAGCCGGGACCAGAACTGCAGAGTTCCCGGCTCCAAGGCCTGTCCCCTGAGCGCTGCCTCTCACCCCTCCTGCTGGGGCAGGCTCAGTGCTGCTGCTGGTGGCTACCTGCCCCTCCCTGCTCCCTGCTGGGGCCATTCTGGGAGGGAGATCGAACGTGGTTAACAACAACTTCACAATCGCTTCTGCAAACCTCTTTATTCAGCCCCAGACTGAAGGGGGCTGCTTTCCTGCGTGACATACACCCCACCGCAACCAAGGACACCCCACAGACCTTCCCCGCCTGCCCAGCAATGCAGATAGCACAGAGCTGAGCCATAGGATCAGCAGAGATTGAAACCGCGCGAAATGACCCCTTGCGACAGGTGGGAGTGACTGAATAGTTCGCCTCAAGCCACAGACCAGCGTTCAGCAGAGCCAAGGAGCATTTGCGGTGGTGTCCGTGCAGGTTCACGTGAAGCATCAGGAGTCCTATACAGCTACGGCCGCTCCTGTGTATCCGTTTCAGTGGAGGAGGCCTGTGGGCTGTTCTGAAGCGACATCGGCCCATTGTGACTTCCCTGCCCGGTCTGGGACAGCTCAGCTCCTGCCACCACCAAGCTGTGCTGTGGGCAAAACCCTGTCTGCAGGGCGCTGACCCGCTCCAGGGGAATGACTGAAACAGGGCCTGAGATGGCCCAAGACCCTCACCACAGCATGCCCCCCCCCCTTCACACACGGCACTTTCCCTGTGATCTTGAGGACCGACGAGGCAGGATCAGATGAGCATAAAGGTGGAGCTTGTGTGTGCCTGTCAAGGTTCCTCCCCCACTCTGAACTCTAGGGTACAGATGTGGGGACCTGCATGAAAAAACCCCTAAGCTTATCTTTACCAGCTTAGGTCAAAACTTCCCCAAGGTACAAAATATTACACCCGTTATCCTTGGAATGGCCGCTACCACCACCAAACTAATACTGGTTACTGGGGAAGAGCTGTTTGGACGCGTCTTTCCCCCCAAAATACTTCCCCAAAACCTTGCACCCCACTTCCTGGACAAGGTTTGGTAAAAAGCCTCACCAATTTGCCTAGGTGACTACAGACCCAGACCCTTGGATCTTAAGAACAATGAACAATCCTCCCAACACTTGCACCCCCCCTCTCCTGGGAAATGTTGGATAAAAAGCCTCACCAATTTGCATAGGTGACCACAGACCCAAACCCTTGGATCTGAGAACAATGAAAAAGCATTCAGTTTTTTAAAAGAAGACTTTTAATAAAAAATAGCAGTAAATAGAAATAAAGAAATCCCCCCTGTAAAATCAGGATGGTAGATATCTTACAGGGTAATTAGATTCAAAACATAGAGAACCCCTCTAGGCAAAACCTTAAGTTACAAAAAAGATACACAGACAGAAATAGTTATTCTATTCAGCACAATTCTTTTCTCAGCCATTTAAAGAAATCATAATCTAACACATGCCTAGCTAGATTACTTACTAAAAGTTCTAAGGCTCCATTCCTGTTCTGTCCCTGGCAAGAGCAGCACACAGACAGACACAGACCCTTTGTCCCTCTCCCTCCTCCCAGCTTTTGAAAGTATCTTGTCTCCTCATTGGTCATTTTGGTCAGGTGCCAGCGAGGTTGCCTTTAGCTTCTTAACCCTTTACAGGTGAGAGGAGCTTTCCCCTGGCCAGGAGGGATTTCAAAGGGGTTTACCCTTCCCTTTATATTTATGACAGCGCCCTCCCCCAGGAGGATCAATATAAGGGGCAGATACTGTCAGGCAGTCTCAGCGCATTTGACTCTTTTTCTCCCGGGGCCTGAAATCTCCTCACCATGCTCTGGGCTCCCCTCCTCCTCCTGCTGGGGACGGGGTGCACAGGTGAGAACAGGGGAGCGGGGTCAAGACACACTGAAGTTGCTGCTGGAGTCAATGCACAAACTGCGTCACTCCCGGCCGGGGACGGGGCCCGTGGGGTTCACTGGATTCTCCATTGTTTCCCCAGCGTCCAGCTCGCAGCCTGTGGTGACTCAGCCGCCCTCAGGGGCCTGCGCAGGCTGCTAGGTTTGGTCTCTGCCTGTCGCATGTCACAGAAACACGTGTCCTGCACCCTGCCTCTCCGCTCCTCAGCCCCTGTCACGGGGTGAGAGCCGGCTTGAGGCACAGGCATGGTCTATATGGCCAGGCCAAGGGTCCTGGCTCTTGTGGCGAGATCAGAATCTCGGCCTTCCTGAAGAGAAATTATAGCCTGTCCTCATGGGTTGTTTGGAAAGGCTTGAAGCACAACTGCAGTGTCCCTGACACCTGCCTGAGTCTGCAGAGAGCCTGAAATAACAGCTCCAGAGCTGTGAGCCACCCACTCATCCTGACCCGGAGAACCTGCTGCTTGTTGTAGGTTCTCACCACCAGAGCACTCTGTGTATTTGGGGCCCTGGCTGATGACATGTCAGTCGGGACCTGCTGGCCACACGCAGAGTCCTGTGCTGGGGTGGGTCAGGGTTGAGTCTTCCCTCCCCTGACACAGGCCCCACCGCTGTGCAGACAGGGCTCCGTGCGCCCGTGAGTTTAGAGGCCCATTCTGCTCCCAGAGGAGTGTTGGAAAGTCCCCCAGCAGACAGCTCCCCTGTGGGCTCCTGCCCCGGCCAAGCAGGCATTGCCACTGAGAACCCCAGGGGTCCTGAGGAAAGGGAGAGGGGACACACCCCTGCCTCTCACGAAGGTGGCCAGATTCCTCAGCAGCCCATCAGTTGCTCTACTTCTCAATCAACTCCTCAGGGCAGTGGGGTGAACACGGCAGCGATGCCGTTACCAGCTCCCCTGAGGGTTTTCACCATGGACCTGCCATACTGGAGCTGTGCAGAGCAGGGATCGAGTGCTCCATGGGGGATCTCACCCCCGCAAGAGGGTTTGTTGGGAATCCCCGCTGGGTGCAGCATGGAGCCCCAACACCCATCCCCATCCAACAGCACCCACTCCATCACCTGCCCCAGCCTCAGCCCGCATCCCACAGCCCCAAAAACCCTGAAAAGGAACAGCGTGAACGCTGGAAACAACCGTACACCGCTGTTCCCTGCAGCTGTGAGACAGTCAGGAGGGAGCAGCGTTCCCATGACCTCAGCGTGCCGGGCCTGAGCTCTTGTGAAACACTGGAAGGACTGATCGTAGTAATAGCGACACTGACCACCCGGGGGAGCTTGTTCTCTCTCCAGTGCTGGAGCTGGGCATCTGGGTGAGTGCAGCTGTGTCCAGGTGCCAGGCTACAAACTGTGGGGACAGAGACATCTCTGGGCTTGGGGCTTTTCATACCCCTACAACTTTCCCCTTTCCAATGTGACCCTGGAGGACACTGTGCTTTAGATTCTCACTCCCCAGACACCCCCCTCCCCTCTCTGCTCCCCGCGCCCTGGAGCAGGGGCACTCAGACTGGCCGTCTCCTTTGGAATGGCTGGAGGGTCACGACAAGATCACCAAAACCCAGGGGCTGCTCTGACCCGGGAGGGGGAAGCGAAGGGGAGAGAAGCAGAAGTTCTCTCCCTCTCCTGCTGCCACATTCCCGTCCCGCTGACCACAACAGGTCCTTCTGCAGGGAAAGCCACAAAAATCCATCAGGAGCCAGCTGCCTTGCTCACCAGGGGCCCCATTGCTCACAGTATCCTCAGCTGGTTCCTCACCATCTTTCAGTGAGTTTCCCGTGAGCAGTGTGCAGCGCAGAAGGGTTTCAGCCCCTCCCCTGCCCCTTTCCAGCAGGACATCTCTCAGCAGCATCTTCCAGGAGCACCATAACCACCCAGCCACACGTCCACCACCCAGCAGCCGCCACATTGTCCACTCCCAAACCCTCGCCAACACCCGCCCCAGGCAGCAGCTGCGAATCCCAGAAGCCATCAGTCCACACCCGCCAAACCTCTCAGAGACACCTGCACAACCTGCACCGCCAGCAAGTCCCAGCACCCGTCCCACCAAGGACACACAGCCCCAAACCAGCCAGGGTTTCTTGCCGCAGGGTCAGGGTCATGACAAGAAACCCAGCTAGCTTTACAGTGCCAAGCAGACAACATTGGAGACTCCTCACTCCAGGGGGAGTGCTCTGAACGGTAACGGTGTGAGCAGACAGAGCACTTCGGGAGCCCCTCAGCCCCAAGATGAGCTTCATTTTTCCTTGCAAATGGGAAACAAAACAATTCTTGGGTCTGTCCGTCGCTGTCTCTGAGGGGAGGGAGGTGCCAGCAGCAGCCAGTGAGCAGGGGGCAGATTTGCATGAAGGGGCCGTTCTCCAGCTCCGGGCATTTAAGAGACAATCGGAGGGTTCCAGCCACAGACCCGTTTACCTCAGGAAGCCGAGCTTGTCTGGATCCACCATGGCCTGGGCACCTCTGCTCCTCTCACTGCTCACCTACTGCTCAGGTGCGGCGAGGGAGGGGGGCTTATCTCAGTCTTTCAATCAAAGAGGGTCTTTGATTTTAGAGCCATTTCTCACATTGCTTCCCCCAGCTGCTGGCCCAAAGCTTTAATCATCATGATTTTATCCCCGTGTTTTCTCCTCCTCTTGCAGGTTCGCTCGCCCAGTACGTGCTGACCCAGCCGCCTGCAGTGTCTGTGTCTCCAGGGCAACATGCTCAACTCACCTGCACAGGAGAAAAGATTGACAAATACTATGTGCACTGGTACCAACAGAAACCTGGCCGTGCCCCCGTACTCGTCATATACAAGGACAGTGAGAGACCCTCCGGAATCCCCCGATCGATTCTCTGGGACCAGCTCCGGTAACACGGCCACGTTAACCATCACTGGAGTCCAGGCGCAGGACGAGGCTGATTATTACTGTGAGCAGTGGGACAATGACAGCAGCTCTGCTCACAGTGACACAGTCAGGCGGGGAAGTGAGACACAAACCTCTGTTGTCTAAGGGGCACATTTATTCTCGTTCTTCCTGTGACAGCGTGAGGGGCCCTTTCCGAGGTGGGAATGGAGGCTCCTTATTTCATCTACCCACAAACCCTTCTCAGCAGCCTGGGGTCACAGGATGGCTCCTTAGTAAGCCCTGGAAGCCATCTCACCTCCCTGCATGGGGGAGAATCCTGGCCCCATTGATGTCACTGGCAAAATCCCTGTGACTGCAGTGGGGCCAAGATTTCACCCCAACGCTTGCAAAGTCAAAGGCTGATGCAGGGAGCAATGGGATCTCCTCCTCATTCTTCTTACAGGGAGAAACAAGAATTAGACCCACCCCGGCTCTGTCACAGCTCTGAACTCTGTCTCCTCTTCTGTTGTCCCCCGGAATGAGGACGCCCTTCAACTGGTAACAGTCCAAGGCTGGACACTGATCTCCAAGTTGATGGCGTGGATGACACAGAGAAGCAGAGCACGCTGCGAGGAACAGCCTGTGTGCTGCAATGACTGTCGTGATGCTTCTGTACAGCCATGCAGAGGAATGTCATCAGGGCGTGTGTGACATTGACCACTGGGGGCAGCTGATCTTCCACAAGCTGCAGAATGGCGTTACTCCTGGGGGAATCCTACACCACTGCGTGAACACAGAATTCATGTCTCCCACAGATTTCTTTGCTTCCCTGCAGAAAAATGACTTTCTAACAGGGAAGAAAAGGGACGCTGCAAAAGCAGTCACGCACCACTCCCTAGCAGCTCAGGTACATCATTTCAGGTACCCAGAGCAGCCGATGGAGAAGTAAATCACCACAGGGCTGGCGATACCCCAGCCAGGAGCGCCAACCCTGAACCAGGATCAGCTGCTAGTCCCGGCTGGGCTGGAGGCAGGAGAGGAAGGGACTTCCTCTTCCCCTGCAAGGAGGTGGGGCTGTGTCAGACTCACCCCAAAAAACCTTCCCCAGCTGCAGCAAGCTCAGCATCCTCCCCTGCTTCCTGCCCCCATCGCTCCTCAGCTGCAGGAAGAGGGGACACTGTACGGGGAGCTGCTCCCCCATCCAACCAACTCCCATGCATCTGGACCTCCCATATCCAGACACCCCCACCAAGCCTCACCCCGTGCACCTAAAACTCACCTAGCTCTCCATACCCAAATGCCACCCCACTGAACCTCAACTCCTGCATCTGGAGCCCCCTGCACCCAAACCCCCTGCCTCCAGACCTCCACCCCTGCACCCACACCACCCCCACTGAGCTCCCTGCACTCAAACCCCGACCCTTATGTGCTCCATCACCCTGAGCCCCCACATCCATACCCCCATTCCACTGATCTCCCAACTAAATGCACCCAGACTCCTCCGCTGACACCCCCATGCCCAGACCCCTCCATTGATCCCCAACCACCTTCACCTGGAAGCCCCTGCACAGTCCCATTGTCCCTGCACTTGGACCCTGCCCCCTCCCTGAGCCCCTGTGCATCCAGATCCTGCCACAGTCTGCCTGCACCCAGATTGTCCCACACAGGTGGGACACCCAGATCCCCCCACACTGAGCCTCTTCATACTTGGATCCTGCCTGGTTCAGCCTGACAGCCCCACAACGGGTCCCCCTGGCACAGAGGGGAAGATTCTCATGGTGTTTCTGGGACAGCAGCTGTTCCAACTTATGAGACAGCATGGCGACACACTCACTCTCCCCCAACACTCACTGCCTCTGTACTCTCCCTCTCCCGCTCAGACACACAGACACACGCGTCCTGTCACACACACCCCCCGACCCCCACACCTGCACAGGAGAAGAGACTGACAAATAGTATGTTCTGTAGTACCAGAAGAAACCTGGCCGTGCCCCCCCCCCCACTCGTTATATACAAGGACAGTGAGAGTCTCTCCTCCCCTGACACAGGCTCTGCCGCTGTGCAGACAGGGCTCCGTGATCCTCTGAGTGGAGAGGCCCATTCTGCTCCCAGAGGAGTGTTGGAAAGTCCCCCAGCAGACAGCTCCCCTGTGGGCTCCTGCCTCGGCCAAGCAGGCATTGCTACTGCGAACCCCAGGGGTCCTGAGGAAAGGGAGAGGGGACACACCCCTGCCTCTCACGTGGGTGGCCAGGTTGCTCAGCAGCCCATCAGTTGCTCTACTTCTCAATCAACTCCTCAGGGGAGTGGGATGAATGCCCAGGGCATCGAAAGGCAGAGACGCTCTTCCAGGATATTGTGATTACACCTGAACTCTGTGGAGATTTACGGTTCCTCGGCACTCTCAGTGTAGGGGATCTAAGGTGGTGATGGTCAATTTCTACTCTGTCCGGTAGGGTAAAGCGCCATGCAGGAGCCCGGGGTGGTTCTGCCTCCCTGCCCCTTCCCCTAGGGACGGGTCTGTCTGTGTCTCACAGAGTTAGATTCATGTAGCCGCACCCCAGTGGCTGCCCAGCTCTAGAATGTCTTAATCTTCCTCTAGGGGAGCGCAGCTGCTCGAAAAACTGACTGATCTCTGCCCAGCATGACTAAGCCGAGGGCCTGATCACCTGGTTAGTGTGGAGAAGGACATCCTGGAAGGAAGAGGGTGAATGCTGGAAGGGACTCGCTAGCGATGTTCCCTACAGCCCTGGAGAGTCAGGGACGTGACCATGGCAAGTGTGATGCTGGCCACTAGGGGGCAATAGTAATCTGTGGGAGCCGACCCCACTGCAGGGAGTGGCTGTGAGTGTTGGTGTGCACCGGCCCTAGATGTTGGGGAAGGTGCGTTTGCCACACGCTCAGAGGCAGGGGCTGTCAGCGCGCCCAGCACTAGACCCCTCCGCCTCCCCCATCCAGCATCCACTCCATAACTGGGCCCAACACCAGCCCCCGTCCAACAGCACCCACACCATCCAGCACCCCAGAAATGATCACCCCAAAACTGGCCAGCATTTCTTCCTGCAATGACCGAAAATGGTGGCATAACTCTGAAAACAATTGTGGCCTGGGAGCATGAGAAGAAACCACAGTTTAATTTGAGGTCCAAGGCAGATAAAATTGGAGACTTCTGGGGAGAGGGGTCTGCACTTGATGTTCTGAGCAGACCAAACCCATTGGGACCTGCTCACCTCTGGAATGAGCTAAACTTTCTTCTTGCTGATGAAAAGCAAAGCAGTCCTTTCCCCTACAGGTGTCTCAGGGGATTTATGCAGAGAGGCTCTCCCCTGGGTCCCTTCGCTCTTGGGGAGTGAAAGGCAGCAGCAGCCAGTGAGCAGGGGGCTGATTTGCATGAAGGGGCCGTTCTCCAGCACTGGGGGTTTAAGAGAGAATCGGAGGGTCCCAGACACAGACCCATTTGCCTCAGGAAGCCGAGCTCGTCTGGATTCCCACCATGGCCTGGGCCCCTCTGCTCCTTGCGCTGCTCACTTACAGCTCAGGTATTATAAGCGGGAGAGTTTTTCTCCATCTCTTTAGTCAGGGGATTTTCTCTTCCTTGGGTTCCTGCACGGCCTGTGGTGGGTTAGCTCTTGAAATATTGATTGTATCCCCATGTTTTCTCCTCCTGTCTCAGGTTCTCTCGCCCAGTACGTGCTGACTCAGCCGCCTTCAGTCTCTGTGTCTCCAGGGCAAAAAGCTCAACTCACCTGTTCCGGAAGCAACATTGGTAGCAAGAGTGTGCACTGGTACCAACAGAAACCTGGCAGCGCCCCCCTACTCGTTATATATGGTGATAGCAGCAGACCCTCCGGAATCCCCGATCGATTCTCTGGCGCCAACTCCGGTAACACGGCCACGTTAACCGTCACTGGAGTCCAGGCGCAGGACGAGGCTGATTATTACTGTCAGGTGTGGGACAGCGGCACTGCTCACAGTGACCCAGCCAGATGGGGAAGTGAGACACAAACCTCTCGTCAGCAAAGGGCAACGTGTAATAGCATTCGTCCTGTGACAGCGTGAGGGGCCATTTCAGAGGCAGGGAAGCAGGTATCCTATTTAATCTGCCCAGAAATCCTTCCAGGCAGAGCCTGGGACCACGCTGCGTCTGCCTCATAACCCTTCTGAACAATCTCACCCCAATGCACAGAGATCTAAAGGACAATTCAGAGAGCGAGGGGATCTCGTCCCCATTCCTGTTAAAGGGACAAACTGGACTCGCACCCTGTGCCTGACTCCGTGTCAGTCTCTCATCTCACCTCTCCTATGATACCCCTGGGCATGAGGACGCCCCTCACCTGGCAACAGTCCAGGGCTGGACACTGTTCTCCAAACATCTCCTGCCAAAATCAGACTCGTTCTCTTCTCCTCACAGCTTTGTCTAGACGTCCACACACACACACAGGGCCCTGCAGTGGGAATAGGGGATGGACCCTGGCACTGGAGAAGATCACTTGAGTGTCAGGCTCCTGGAGCCAGCAGCGAGAGCTCACTTTTCCCTGCTCTCCATCCCCACGGGCCTTGCGCACATCTGTGTCCTGCACCCTATGTCCCAGCCTCCGGATATCCTACACAACAGCCCACCCGCGAGCCAGGCCGAGGCCTGTGACAAGCCCCTGCGTGGCACCAGCAGGAAGGAGAAGAGCCTCAGTCTCTGACTGACGGGAATGTCAAAGGGATGATTTCTGAGGGGAAGCGCACAGGAGCAGGAGGGCTCTGACCGCACAGAGCTGCCCCAAATTCTCAGAGCCATGAGCGAGGGCGAAGGTTCGTTAGCGCAGCCCTGACACCGGGGTGAGGGAGGCAGTGTGAATGCACCGGGCTGGGTTCCCTGATCCCGGCTTAAAACAAGAAGCCCCAGAATGCACGTCTGCTACTTCCGCAACGATCACCGTCCACTCAGTGCATACTCAGTGCCATACTGGAGCTGTGCAGAGCAGGGATCGAGTGCTCCATGGGGGATCTCACCCCCGCAAGAGGGTTTGTTGGGAATCCCCGCTGGGTGCAGCATGGGGCCCCAACACCCATCCCCATCCAACAGCACCCACCCCATCCAGCACCCACTCCATCACCTGCCCCAGCCTCAGCCCGCATCCCACAGCCACAAAAACCCTGAAAAAGAACAGCGTGAATGCTGGAAACAACCACACACCGCTGTTCCCTGCAGCTGTGAGACAGTCAGGAGGGGGCAGCGTTCCCATGACCTCAGCGTGCCGGGCCTGAGCTCTTGTGAAACACTGGAAGGACTGATCGTAGTAATAGCGACTCTGACCACCCGGGGGAGCTCGTTCTCTCTCCAGTGCTGGAGCTGGGCGTCTGGGTGAGTGCAGCCGTGTCCAGGTGCCAGGCTACAAACTGTGGGGACAGAGACATCTCTGGGCTTGGGGCTTTTCATACCCCTACAACTTTCCCCTTTCCAATGTGACCCTGGAGGACACTGTGCTTTAGATTCTCACTCCCCAGCCACCACCCTCCCCTCTCTGCTCCCCGCGCCCTGGAGCAGGGGCGCTCAGACTGGCCGTCTCCTTTGGAATGGCTGGAGGGTCACGACAAGATCACCAAAACCCAGTGGCTGCTCTGACCCAGGAGCGGGAAGCGAAGGGGAGAGAAGCAGAGTTTCTTTCCCTCTTCTGCTGCCACATTCCCGTCCCCCCCCCCCCCCCAGGCCCTTCTGGGGGGAAAACCAAAAAAACCCATCAGGAGCCAGCTGCCTTGCTCACCACAGGCCTCATTGCTCACAGTATCCTCAGCTGGTTCCTCACCATCTTTCAGTGAGTTTCCCATGGGCAGTGTGCAGCGCAGAAGGGTTTCAGCCCCTCCCCTGCCCCTTTCCAGCAGGACATTGCTCAGCAGCATCTTCCAGGAGCACCATAACCACCCAGCCACACGTCCACCACCCAGCAGCCGCCACATTGTCCACTCCCAAACCCCTCGCCAACACCCGCCCCAGGCAGCAGCTGCGAATCCCAGAAGCCATCAGTCCGCACCCGCCAAACCTCTCAGAGACACCTGCACAACCTGCACCGCCAGCAAGTCCCAGCACCCGTCCCACCAAAGACACACAGCCCCAAACCAGCCAGGGTTTCTTGCCGCCACAAAAGATTGTGGGTCAGGGTCATGACAAGAAACCCAGCTAGCTTTGCAGTGCCAAACAGACAACGTTGGAGACTCCTCACTCCAGGGGGAGTGCTCTGAACGGTAACGGTGTGAGTAGACACAGCACTTCGGGAGCCCCTCAGCCCCAAGATGAGCTTCGTTTTTCCTTGCAAATGGGAAACAAAACAATTCTTGGGTCTGTCCGTCGCTGTCTCTGAGGGGAGGGAGGTGCCAGCAACAGCCAGTGAGCAGGGGGCAGATTTGCATGAAGGGGCCGTTCTCCAGCTCCGGGCATTTAAGAGAGAATTGGAGGGTTCCAGCCACAGACCCGTTTGCCTCAGGAAGCTGAGCTCGTCTGGATCCACCATGGCCTGGGCCCCTCTGCTCCTCACACTGGTCACGTACTGCTCAGGTGCGGCGAGGGAGGGGGGCTTATCTCAGTCTTTCAATCAAAGAGGGTCTTTGATTTTAGAGCCATTTCTCACATTGCTTCCCCCAGCTGCTGGCCCAGAGCTTTAATCATCATGATTTTATCCCCGTGTTTTCTCCTCCTCTTGCAGGTTCGCTCGCCCAGTACGTGCTGACCCAGCCGCCTGCAGTGTCTGTGTCTCCAGGGCAAAATGCTCAACTCACCTGCACAGGAGAAAAGATTGACAAATACTATGTGCAGTGGTACCAACAGAAACCTGGCCGTGCCCCCGTACTCGTCATATACAAGGACAGTGAGAGACCCTCCGGAATCCCCGATCGATTCTCCGGGGCCAGCTCCGGTAACACGGCCACGTTAACCATCACTGGAGTCCAGGCGCAGGACGAGGCTGATTATTACTGTGAGCAGTGGGACAGTGACAGCAGCTCTGCTCACAGTGACACAGTCAGGCGGGGAAGTGAGACACAAACCTCTGTTGTCTAAGGGGCACATTTATTCTCGTTCTTCCTGTGACAGCGTGAGGGGCCCTTTCCGAGGTGGGAATGGAGACTCCTTATTTCATCTACCCACAAACCCTTCTCAGCAGCCTGGGGTCACAGTATGGCTCCTTAGTAAGCCCTGGAAGCCATCTCACCTCCCTGCATGGGGGAGAATCCTGGCCCCATTGATGTCACTGGCCTGTGACTGCAGTGGGGCCAAGATTTCACCCCAACGCTTGCAAAGTCAAAGGCTGATGCAGGGAGCAATGGGATCTCCTCCTCATTCTTCTTACAGGGAGAAACAAGAATTAGACCCACCCCGGCTCTGTCACAGCTCTGAACTCTGTCTCCTCTTCTGTTGTCCCCCGGAATGAGGACGCCCTTCTACTGGTAACAGTCCAAGGCTGGACACTGATCTCCAAGTTGATGGCGTGGATGACACAGAGAAGCAGAGCACGCTGCGAGGAACAGCCTGTGTGCTGCAATGACTGTCGTGATGCTTCTGTACAGCCATGCAGAGGAATGTCATCAGGGCGTGTGTGACATTGGGGGCAGCTGATCTTCCACAAGCTGCAGAATGGCGTTACTCCTAGGGGAATCCTACACCACTGCGTGAACACAGAATTCATGTCTCCCACAGATTTCTTTGCTTCCCTGCAGAAAAATGACTTTCTAACAGGGAAGAAAAGGGACGCTGCAAAAGCAGTCACGCACCACTCCCTAGCAGCTCAGGTACATCATTTCAGGTACCCAGAGCAGCCGATGGAGAAGTAAATCACCACAGGGCTGGCGATACCCCAGCCAGGAGCGCCAACCCTGAACCAGAATCAGCTGCTAGTCCCGGCTAGGCTGGAGGCAGGAGAGGAAGGGACTTCCTCTTCCCCTGCAAGGAGTGTGGGGCTGTGTCAGACTAACCCCAAAAAGCCTTCCCCAGCTGCAGCAAGCTCAGCATCCTCCCCTGCTTCCTGCCCCCATCGCTCCTCAGCTGCAGGAAGAGGGGACACTGTACGGGGAGCTGCTCCCCCATCCAACCAACTCCCATGCATCTGGACCTCCCATATCCAGACACCCCCACCAAGCCTCACCCCGTGCACCTAAAACTCACCTAGCTCTCCATACCCAAACGCCACCCCACTGAACCTCAACTCCTGCATCTGGAGACCCCCTGCACCCAAACCCCCTGCCTCCAGACCTCCACCCCTGCACCCACACCACCCCCACTGAGCTCCCTGCACTCAAACCCCGACCCTTATGTGCTCCATCACCCTGAGCCCCCACATCCATACCCCCATTCCACTGATCTCCCAACTAAATGCACCCAGACTCCTCCGCTGACACCCCCATGCCCAGACCCCTCCATTGATCCCCAATCACCTTCACCTGGAAGCCCCTGCACAGTCCCATTGTCCCTGCACTTGGACCCTGCCCCTCCCCGAGCCCCTGTGCATCCAGATCCTGCCACAGTCTGCCTGCACCCAGATTGTCCCACACAGGTGGGACACCCAGATCCCCCCACACTGAGCCTCTTCATACTTGGATCCTGCCTGGTTCAGCCTGACAGCCCCACAACGGGTCCCCCTGGCACAGAGGGGAAGATTCTCATGGTGTTTCTGGGACAGCAGCTGTTCCAACTTATGAGACAGCATGGCGACACACTCACTCTCCCCCAACACTCACTGCCTCTGTCTCTCCCTCTCCCGCTCACACACACAGACACACGCATCCTGTCACACACTCCCCCCGACCCCAACACCTGCACAGGAGAAGAGACTGACGAATAGTATGTTCTGTAGTACCAGAAGAAACCTGGCCGTGCCCCCCCCCCCACTCGTTATATACAAGGACAGTGAGAGTCTCTCCTCCCCTGACACAGGCTCTGCCGCTGTGCAGACAGGGCTCCGTGATCCTCTGAGTGGAGAGGCCCATTCTGCTCCCAGAGGAGTGTTGGAAAGTCCCCCAGCAGACAGCTCCCCTGTGGGCTCCTGCCTCGGCCAAGCAGGCATTGCTACTGCGAACCCCAGGGGTCCTGAGGAAAGGGAGAGGGGACACACCCCTGCCTCTCACGTGGGTGGCCAGGTTCCTCAGCACAACGGCTTAAAGGGAGAAAGAAAAGATGAACCAGCAGCTCCTCACGCGTTCCCATGGGGCGGCCGGGCCAGACCTGAGCAGGGCTGTGACCCGCTCACTAGGGCCCAGGTTGCAGTTCCCAGAGTGAGGAGCCAAGTCCAGCCAGCCCCGTGGAATGGGGAGTTTCTGCGTCATATCGGGACAGTCCTGGGAACCATGGATTCATGTAAAGTCTGAAAATATCAACTGCCCTCATCCAGCCTCCACTCCGAAACTAGCCCAAATCCAGTCTCCATCCAACAGCACCCACCCATCCAGCACCCACTCTATAACCAGCCCCCACACCAGTCCCCATCCAACAGCACCCACACCATCCAGCACTCCAGAAATGATCACCCCAAAACTGGCCAGCATTCCTGCAATGACTGAAAATGGTGGCCTGACTCTGAAAACTATTGTGGCCTGGGAGCATGAGAAGAAACCACAGTTTAATTTGAGGTCTCAGGCAGATCAAATTGGAGACTTCTGGGGAGAGGGGTCTGCACTTGACGTTCTGAGTATACCAGACCCATTGGAGCTGCTCACCTCTGGGATGAGCTAAACTTTCTTCTTGCTGATGAAAGGCAAAGGAGTCCTTTCCCCAACAGGTGTCTGAGGGGATTTATGCAGAGAGGCTCTCCCCTGGGTCCCTTCGCTCTTGGGGAGTGAAAGGCAGCAGCAGCCAGTGAGCAGGGAGCTGATTTGCATGAAGGGGCCGTTCTCCAGCACTGGGGGTTTAAGAGAGGATCGGAGGGTCCCAGACACAGACCCATTTGCCTCAGGAAGCCGAGCTCGTCTGGATTCCCCACTATGGCCTGGGCCCCTCTGCTCCTCACGCTGCTCACTTACTGCTCAGGTATTATTAGCGGGAGAGATCTTCTCCACCTCTTTACTCAGGGGATTTTCTGTTCCTCGGGTTCCTGCATGGCCTGTGGTGGGTTAGATCACTAAATATTGATTTTATCCCCATGTTTTCTCCTCCTGTCTCAGGTTCTCTCGCCCAGTACGTGCTGACTCAGCCGCCTTCAGTGTCTGTGTCTCTAGGGCAAAACGCTCAACTGACCTGTTCGGGAAGCAACATTGGTAGCAAGAATGTGCAGTGGTACCAACAGAAACCTGGCAGCGCCCCCCTACTCCTTATATATGAGGATAGTGAGAGACCCTCCGGAATCCCCGATCGATTCTCTGGCGCCAACTCCGGTAACACGGCCACGTTAACCATCACTGGAGTCCAGGCGCAGGACGAGGCTGATTATTACTGTCAGGTGTGGGACAGCGGCACTGCTCACAGTGACCCAGTCAGATGGGGAAGTGAGACACAAACCTCTCGTCAGCAAAGGGGAATGTGTAATAGCATTCGTCCTGTGACAGCGTGAGGGGCCATTTCAGAGGCGGGGAAGCAGGTATCCTATTTAATCTGCCCAGAAATCCTTCCAGGCAGAGCCTGGGACCACGCTGCGTCTCCCTCATAACCATTGTGAACAATCTCACCCAATGCACAGAGCTCTAAAGTGGAAGAACAATTCAGAGAGCGAGGGGATCTCGTCCCCCTTCCTGTTAAAGGGACAAACTGGACTCGCACCCAGTACCTGGCTCCATGACTCTTGGGATGAGAACAGAATCTCGGCCTTCATTACAAGAAATTACAGTAAGTCCTCATGGGTTGTTAAGAAAAGCTTGAAGAATGACTGCAGTGTCCCTGATACCTGCCTGAGTCTGCAAAAAGCCTGAAACAACAGCTCCAGAGCTGTGACCCACCCACTCATCTTGACCCTGAGAACCTGCTGCTTGTTGTAGGTTCTCACCACTAGAGCACTCTGTTTACTGGGGCCCTGGCTGATGCGATTTCCGCATAGCTCTGCTGGGGTGCTGGGCACACGCAGAGTCCTGTGCTGGGGTGAGTCAGGGCTGAATCCTCCCTCCCCTGGCACAGACTCCACCGCTGCGCAGACAGGGCTCCGTGCGCCCATGAGTGGAGAGGCCCATTCTGCTCCCAGTGGAGCATTGGAAAGTCCTCCACCAGACAGCCCTTGTGAGAGCCCCTGCCCGGCCAAGCAGGCATTGCTACTGAGAACCCCAGGGGGTCCTGAGGAAAGGGCGAGGGGACACACCCCTGCCTCTCAGGAGGTGGCCAGGATCCTCAGCAGCCCATCAGTTGCTCTACTTCTGAATGCAATCCTCAGGGGAGTGGGGTGAATATGGCAGTGATGCCGTTACCTACTCTCCTGAGGGTTGTCACAGTGCGCCGGCCATACTGGAGCTGTGCAGAGCAGGGATCGAGAGCCTCAGGGGGGATCTCACCCCCGCAAGAGGGTTAGTTGGGAGTCCCAATTGGGTGCAGCACGAGGCATCGAATGACACAGACGCTCTTCCAGGATATTGTTATTGCACCTGAACACTGTGGAGATTTACGGTTCCTCGGCACTCTCGGTGTAGGGGATCTAAGGTGGTAACAGTCAATTTCTTCTCTGTCCGGCAATGTTCAAAAGTGCAGGGTAAAGCACCGTGCAGGAGCCCGGGGTGGTTCTGCCTCCCTGCCCCTTCCCCTGGGGACGGGTCTGTCCGTGTCTCACAGAGTTAGATTCATGTAGCCGCACCCCGGTGGCTGCCCAGCTCTAGAATGTCTTAATCTTCATCCAGGGGGCTGCAGCTGCCTCAATAACTGGCTGATCTCTGCCCAACGTGACTAAGCCGAGGGCCTGATCCGTTGGTTAGTGTGGAGAAGGACATCCTGAAAGGAAGAGGCTGAATGCTGGAAGGGACTGGCTAGCGATGTTCCCTACCGGCCTGGAGAGTCAGGGACGTAATCGTGGCA